GCGTGGGTAGGTTGTTAACCTCCTAAGGTACATATGGAGAAACTAATTTAAATTTATTTCTTAGAGTACATTTAGCTTTAGCTATTAAATCAAATTATACATTTTTTTACTTTATCAATTATTTCGAGCAATCAATTGAAAGCTAATCTAAATATATAATTGGTCACCATAATCGATTTGTGATAGTATGAGTACATTATTAATTTTCCTTTTAAAAAAAAATAAAAATAGAAGAAGAAGCGAGTAGGAACTAGGAAGACATGAAATTTGAAGCCTTCCGTGTGAACATTTCACACGGCTCCTTTTTCCCATTCAAAATCTCCCTCCCAAGCTATCACCAAAATTCCTCCCCTCCCCCAACTAACCTGGATGTCTCATTCACGTCTCTATACATAGCCACAGAACCCTGGAAAAAAGCACTATTTTCCTTCTCCATCGCTTTGTTTGTTGTTTCATCCCTAGTGTTTGATTTTTGGAGCTAAGGAAAAAACATGATAATGGGCGATGAGAGGATGGAGGTATCTTTCTTCGATGTCGAGACAACTGTACCGACCCGATCCGGTCAAGGATTCGCAATCCTGGAGTTTGGGGCTATTCTTGTTTGTCCAAGGAAACTCGTCGAGCAGGAGAGTTACTCCACCCTAGTACGGCCCACTGATCTGGCCCTCATTTCCACCCTCTCCGTTCGCTGTAACGGTATTACCCCAGAAGCAGTCACAAATGCCCCCACCTTTGCTGAAATCGCTGACAAAGTCTATGACATTCTCCATGGTCAGCTCCACATCACCCAGCTCACCTGCATTTTGAAAAATTCTTTATTTTCAGCGTTTTTGCGCTGTGTTTTCTATTGGCTGACTTTTGAATTGCTTATTATGTTGTTTGTGCAGGGAGAATATGGGCGGGACACAATATAGTGAAATTTGATTGTCATCGAATTCGGGAAGCATTTGCTGGGATTAATAGGCCAGCACCAGAGCCTAAGGGAATAATTGATACATTGTCCTTATTGACTCAGAGATTTGGAAGGAGAGCTGGTGACATGAAGGTATATAAAATATTCCACCTTTATGGAAAAAACAGGCATATTTACGTTACTGAACTAGGATTAGTCAACTGATTGATAAACCAGTGTGGTTTGATGTGTTTTTCTGTTTAAATTACAAGAAAGCTCTCTAGAACCTGAATTGTTCACGCTAATCATATGAATTTGGTTTTACTCTCACCCTTTAGTGTTAGGATGTAAACAGCAGGTTTGCTAGGAGTTTGCTTCAATGGTTATTGCAATCTTTTTCTCTGTTGAAGCCACTGAAATAAGAAAGGAAAGAATTAAAAAAAATTGTTTTATATATATCCACTATGAGCATATGAGCTGATATCAGCCTAGTAAATTGCTCTATTCTTGTGAAGCATGTCATCGATGAGCCTAAACTTTATTTCTTTATGGTCAGGAGTGTCTTTTCGAATTTAAACGTGATAATTTCTGTTCTCTCAAAGCTTACTTTTTTACTTGGTTAGTTAAATGGATTAACGTAATGCTGTCTCTAAACTATGTTTTGCTCTTATTAGGAAGTAAAGAAAAAGAGAACAAATGGGAATTAAATACCACACATTTTAGAGAAGCATGAGTATTCAGTTTCTTTCTTTTTCTCTTCTTTTTGCAGTGCTTTAAAGATAAAAGTAAAAATCATTTTTTCAATATTTTTTAAGCAAGCATATGGAGTTTAGGCCACTTGCGCTAAACAGGAGAGATGCGAAAGTTTTGGGTACTGTAGTGAACTAGAAATCTCAAGGATACAAGTGTTCTTACTTTCAATAGTTAACTGTTGATTGGCTTCTTCTTTTTTTTCTATATCATTTTCCAGATGGCCTCACTTGCTACTTATTTTGGCCTTGGACAGCAAACGCATAGGTAAAGAACTTTTTTTTTTTTTTTTGGTGTTTTTTCCGTATGTTGAATATCAAATTTCAGTTATTGATTATTGTAACTAAAGGTTAATGCTCTTCGCCCTCTTGCTTACCTTTATTAACTTGCAGATTGGAAAGTGTGGAATATAATTGTTTCCTTCTTTTTAACGTCTCACTATGCTTATTCTTGCTCAATATACCTCAATAAGCAACATAGAATGTGTTAATAGAGTTTGGTTCATGTCTTAATTTTCTTGTTTTCCGCAATTTGTATGCAAGTTAGGTTGCCTTGTTTCTTGCATCCTCTTTTTGGCCCCTGTTGAAGCAGGGGACTGGGAGCCCGTGGGAGGGTAACTCTTGTTACTTTTAACAGAGAAATGTACTGCTGATGGGAAATGTAATGTGCTCTTCGTTTGATACTTTTGATGCTTCTTTTCCATGGAATTGCAAGTTCTTACTCTTTCAATTGATATTGAGAATGCAAATGTTCGTTGTGATCCTTCGCAGGAGTTTGGATGATGTCCGAATGAATCTTGAAGTGCTGAAGTATTGTGCAACTGTCTTGTTTCTGGTAAGCTAGTCATCCATCACCACCTAGTAGTATTTTCTGTTTGTTTGTTTGGTCGTAAGACATGTTAGTCCCGCTAATATTGCTGTATTTGTAAATAATAATTCTGCAAAATATAAGTTATCG